AAAGAAAAGCATGTTATTCTATGGAAATGTTAGGGATTGATAAAATTGATAAAATGTGAGAAAATGATAAAATGTGAGAAAATGCGTATTCTTTTGAAGTTTCATTTTGAATTTTTTTGGTGAAAGAAACGCCTACCAAAATTCAGGATCTAAAAATTTCCTCGTTAAAAAGATTTTCCTTTTTAGGATTAGATTAGACAGAATTTTCTGATAAAATCAGAAGTGACATTTGAACTCTTTTCTACAACACCCCAAAAGAAATTTATTCACAAATCTGATCAACTGCGAAAAAAGTCAGGAATTGAATTTTCCGGAACTGCTTGGGAACCTTCTCTACAACCTAATATTAGCCAATTCTAAGATCTGGCGAAAAATTCAGCAGGATTTGGTTTGGTGAAATATAATGTTTGGTTGAGAGCGGATCATGAGAAAAAAATTTTTGGAATGGTTCCACTTCCTTTGATTATTTCCTTGAGCATGCTAGTTATGTAGATTTTCTGTAAATTTTCTAAAAATTAATATTGATTAAATTCAAAATATCAAAAATTATTATAATTTAGTGCTCCGAAATCCTCGAAGAAGGCGAACTATGCGTCATTGCCAGTAGAGCCGATAGTGTCTTCCATCCAGCTTGCTTCCAGTGTACAGAATGTTCCACTCTACTGGTCGATTTGATCTATTTCTCCCACAATAACAAGGTAATTTCTCTCGGTTTAATCTTCCTATGCCTCAAAATGACTATTGTAGGTGTACTGTGGCCGTCATCATGCCGAACAATTCAAGCCGCGATGCGCTAAATGCGATGAGGTAAGCATTTACTTCTGTTTATTCGTGAAACAATGGCAAGTGTGTCGATCTCTTTGTGTCCGATTGGGCCACCCTTTCATCTCGCGGGTTTCGCTCTTTTCCCGAGACATCTGGCCTCGAAGCGGCTTATTTTGCCGCATTAATGCGTATCGCAACACGTGCGCATACTGTTTATAGCGATGAAATGACGGAAGTTTATGTGACCGCCTGCGCGGTGGCGGCAGCGGATCGCGAGAGCGCTTAGAAGGGTGCGACTGTGGTCCCGAC